GTATGATAGAATTCAGCAGAGCACAGGAATCCCCAGAAACAAATTCCAGAATATTTTAAACTTTTGTCTGAGAGATAACAACTATTTCGAATGCAATGGTAACTTCTACGCACAAACTTTTGGTATGCCAATGGGCAACCCCCTTTCACCTACAATAGCTGCCGTTGTAATGGACGACTTATTAGACAACACCTTTATGAGCCTCAAAGAAAATTTCAACATTGACATCAAGTTCATTGTCAAGTACGTAGACGATATATTTGCTATTATAAAACGAAACGACGCGGATATAATTATTAACACACTCAACTAATATCATCCTAAATTACAATTCACGATGGAATCAGAGAACAATTTACGTATACCTTTTTTGGATGTCATGATCCACCGAAAAAGTAACGCCATTCTTCTTGACTTGTACTCAAAGCCTACTTCCTCTGGGCGTCTAATAAATTACTTATCTTCGCAACCTTTGAAATACAAAATTAACACAGCTAGAAATCTAATCCACAAAGTACTAACGATAAGTCACCAACAATTTAGAGACACGAACATAAAGAAAATAAACAAAATTCTGGTAAGCAACAACTACCCACACCACTTAATACAAAGCCTAATAAAACAGAAAACGTCAGAAATAAACAACGAAATTAATAGAGTACCGGACACGAAAACACCCAATGACAACAAGCGATATTATAGTGTCACATACATCCCTCGCTTTTACCAACAATTTAACGATGACATAAACACCAACAACCTTAATGTAACGTTGGCGTACCGATCAAACTGCACACTTTCTTCGATCTTTACCAAAACAAAAACGCCACTACCGCCCCAGCTGCAAAGCAACGTGGTATACGAAATAACATGCAAAGGAAGCAAAAACGAAAACTGCAACAAAGTTTATAAAGGAACGACTAAGAGAGCATTGGGCGTTCGTCTGTCAGAGCACGAAGCAGATATAAAGAAAAATAAGCAAAGCACAGCTTTGGCGCAACACATACAAGATAGTGGTCACACAGCTGATTTAGCCAACGTCAAAATATTAGACAAGGAACGGAGGGAAAAAGCGAGATTCACTATAGAAAGCCTACGAATATTACAGAAAAGAGAAAAAACAATTAACAAGAAGGAGGACACGGATGATATCGCGGCTGCTTATATGCTATGCTTGTAATAAACATTTAGTATGATGAGAGTACCACACAGCGATGGTATCAATATTTTTAATAAGTTAATGTTTAATGTTCACTGTTCAATACGTTTCAATGTTTTTGGTGTTTTTCAATTTTTCAAAATATTTCCAAATGTCCAGTGTAAATTAAATCTTAACTATGAGTAAGTGCCACAGTTAAAATCAAAAAACCTGTGATTGTCCCTTTGTGTTTGTATCTTCGTTTGTTGTTTTTCAAATATTTAACCTAATTTTTTTAATTATGTACATACATATATCAATATTTGTCGATAACATTGTTCTTTGTTTATTGTTGATGTCTATGTAAATAAAGATGCGCCCCTGAAGATGCTAAGGTGATTAGCGAAACGTTGGGCAAAACGTGAAGAAAAAAGTGGTTTTCTTGCACACGAAAGTAATCGATCGACTAGCCTACAACAACAACAATAAGAAGGATTCTGGTTTAGCAATATTTTATGTAGTTGTATTAGAACCTTGAGTTTCAAATAGTTATTAAAGGAGATTGAATACATTCTTATAGCATGTTCGGAGATGTGATCTCTGCGCTTAATACCAAAAATATATCGGGCAATATTATTAAATAAGACATTGAGCTTTCCGTTGCACGTAGTATCGCAATTAGCATACAGTTCGCAACCATAAAGCATGGTTCGAAGCAAGTATGTCTTGGCTAAGAGCAGTCTGATTTTAATAAGTGTAAAGTACTGAGTAATCCATAAGGAGCGCAACATTCCGTACACTTTGCCTATTACTGTAAAAATGTGGTTCTTCCATGTCAATGTTCTGTTGAAAGTCACGCCCAGGTATTTGGCAGCATCAACGAAATTTAACTTACAAATATAAAAATGTGAAATATCGAGGGCTTCAATTCATTAATACCCTATATCTGCAATTTGCACAAAAACTAATGTGTGATTTTAGAAACCATCTGGGACTTATTACCTGTCGTTATATAAGGTAGCATTAATATCACTGATGACAGCTAAAGCTTAGGTGGATTTTTATATCAGAATCTCACCTACCTACTGAGGTGACAAATTAAGCTTTTGAAAACCTTCTGGAAATCAGCGAAGAGAACAGGGTTCTGGATTTAAGTCTATGCAGAAAACACTGCTGTTGGTAAGATTACATAAAAGTACTAATGAATTTTACTTTTACATTTCTATGTGAGACTGCTTTTCAACAAATGCTTACACAAGCAAGTAATTTTTAAGCAAAAAACAAATCCGACTTCAATTCCCATACAGATTTAAGATTATCGTTAATCTCTTCATGATCTAATGATCGGATTTAAAGCAACATAGAATGGGACAATCTGTGAGGTACCACCTTTCCTTTAAAAAAAGAATTATAGTAATCGGTTAACGTGGTCCAAAGTTATGCGGAAGCATACATAAAGAAAAACCTTTTTGTGTATTCGGTTAAAAACAAACACACCAGCAAGCTTTCAGCGTCAAATGGTTTCAGGGTAAAATTGTCAAAGCTCCCTATAAACTTAAAGGAAGTAATGAAATCATCAAAACAATTTCAGTCCTCACATTAAAGCTAAAGGAGCATAAAGTTTGCATTGTCGCGAAATTTTTTTGGCACAAGGGTGCCGAGGTGAAAAAAGTTTGCGAACCCTGCCCTAACAAATAAAATTTGGAATAGGGAAGCTCTTAGCAGCTTCTCAAGAAGAGCAGCAGTAGGTAATACCAAATTGTAGTTTGTCGGTTCACCTATGGTACCAGAGCTCTGAGTCCATCCATAAAAAGTGGCGCAAGACTTGTAACAAATGGATTTGTCCTGATCACCTGCCTGCGGTGGGCCCTCAATGTTACGAAAACTGATAGTTTTTTTAAGTAATATTGGTTTAAGAAGAAAATGTAAGACATTGATCTAAGAAGTCAAATTATTCTTATTTTTTCTGCTACATAACTAAATTATTTATTTTTTCAAATTCCTACTTGCTATGAACAAATTTAAGTTTGTGATCGTAAACGTATTTGACTACATTTTTATACCCGAGCGCACTTGTGCACAAGGGTATTATAACTTTGTTCACATAACGGTTGTTTGTAACAGGCACAACGAATCGAGATAGATATAGACAAATGTATACATAAATGATCAGAATGAAAAGAGAAATCGATTAAGCGGTGACTGTCTGTTCGTCCGTCCGTCCGTCCGTCTGTCCGTCCGTCTGTGCACACGATAACTCGGGTAAAAATTAAGATATCTTAACGAAACTTGTACTTCTTTCGGGCGTAGGACGGATGGTATTGAAAAGGGGCAAAATCGGACAATAACCACGCCTACCTCCCATATAACGGTAATTTTAAGAAATACAAAAACTGCGATATCTTAGTAACTACTGAAGATAATTCACTCAAGATTGATATTTATAATAAATTTTAGGCGAAAAATAAGAATATTAACATTTTTTTGAAAATGGGCGTAGCCACGCCCACTTATGGTTACATGTGTATATCTTGGTAACCGCTGCATCAATTTATTCCAAACTTGGCACAGTTGTTGGCCCTCGTACAGCATACCAAATGGCCGAAAATTTTTAAAATCGGACAATAACCACGCCCACATCCCATATAACGGTAATTTCGAGAAATACGAAATCCTCGATAAATCAGTAAATATTAAAACTAATTTATTCAAAATGATGGTTGCAACAATTCTTTGCCAGGAAATACGTTTATGAGAAAATTTTGGAAAATGGGCGTGGCACCGCCCACTTATGATCACGTATATGTATCTCGCTAACCGTTCTAGCAATTTGTACCAAGGTTAGGTTAGGTTAGGTTGAAGTGGCTGCTAGGCCCAGAGGGCGCCAGCACACTTAGGCCCGATCAGGGCCCATTGTGATACCACATGGATCCAAAGAAAACCCCTATTCCTTAAACCAGTTTGTGGAGTCTGCAAACCTTAGCAACTGCCGTATTCCAAACTTAGCAGTCGCGCTTAGATCGTCTAGAAGACCTATACCTAGGAATTTCTGTCTTTTCCTGCCCAGTGCTGGGCAATCGCAGAGTAAGTGCCTTATTGATTCAGGCTCTTCTTCGTCGTGGCAGCTCCTGCAGTAGTCGTTGTGACTAACCCCGAGGCGTTCTGCGTGCCTTCCTATCAAAATATGTCCTGTGAGCAGACCAATTGCCAGTGACATATCGCCTTTGTTGAGAGTGAGAATTTCTCTCGATCTCCGTACATCCCATTTTGGCCATGTAAGCTTCGTTGTATTACAGTTTTCAGTGCGCTCCCATCTGGAGGCCGCTTCTTCAAGGAAGTTCTCCCTTAGTAAGAGCTTGCAGGAAGCGAGTGGCATACCCACCCTCTTCCAGGCTGGTGAAAGTGGAGAGGAAGTACCCGCCCTTGCAAGCTCGTCTGCCTTCTCATTTCCTGGTATGTTACTGTGCCCCGGTACCCATACCAGGTGCAAAGCGAACTGCTCTGCCATCACGTTAAGTGATTTGCGGCAGTTGGCAACTGTTTCCGAATTTATAGTGACAGAGTCAAGCGCCATAAGGGCCGCCTGACTGTCTGAGTATATATATATGTGGCAACGCTATGCTGCGTACGAAGAACTATTTAATCAGCAACCCTTATTCTATTACCTTTTGTATTTTAGTTGTAAGCAACTCTTTTCCCTTTTCTTCCTTTCCTTCTTCTCATTTTTCTGGTGAAAGAATAAAGACACGTTTTTAGCGAGTACGTAAGATTAAGCAAATACTTTGAGTTTCTCTTTTCGGATTCAGAATACAGTCGCAAGATACTAAAGTGGTGACCCCGAACAAGTGTAGCTAATCTTGCAATGGAAGAACAAGGAGAAAACCTTAAACAGGCACAAGCATCACCCCCGGCAAACTTTCAGCCACCAATGCAGCTGACCCAACCTCATACCGTTTTACCCAGAGAAATCGGTGCACATCAGCCCGAGCTTCACGTGGACGCAGCCATGGTACCACGCATAAATCCACCCAACATGAATGATACCAACATTGAATCGTATTTTTTGTCCCTCGAGTTTTGGTTCGCGGCCACCGGAGTAACACATGACGCGAGGAAGTACAATCTGGTCATGGCACAGGTACCGCCGAACAAACTAACGGAGTTGAAGGCAATCATCGATTCCACGCCGCAGATTAATCGCTACGAGTACATTAAATCTAAACTCATAGCGCACTTTGCCGACAGCCAGCAACGACGCGTACAACGCGTTCTTTCTGACATGCCCTTGGGTGACCTAAAACCTAGCCAGCTGTTCAACGAAATGCGACGGGTAGCTGGCAGTGCCCTCTGCGAAACCGTACTCGTAGATTTGTGGGCCTCACGCTTACCACCACACGCCCAAGCCGCAGTCATCGCATCAAAGGGTGATATAGCAGATAAAGTTGCGATTGCAGACGCCATCGTCGACTCAATGAATTTTCGGCAAATTAGTGCGGTGGGTAACCCCTCAGCGCCCACCACTACAATACAACAAAATGACGAGTCAAATGCATTACTTGAACTACGAAAGGAGATCGCTCAGCTAACGAAACGTTTTGAGGTTATGACAAAGCAGCGACCAAGGAGCCGTAGCCGAAGCAGACATGGACACCAACGTAGCACGCATCAGGAGGGTACCCACTTAAGTGGATTATGTTGGTACCACGATCGGTTTGGCGCGAGCGCACGAAAGTGTAGAACGCCTTGCACGTACAAAAATCGGGAGAACGCTCAATGACTATATTCGACGGCGCCTGCAGCACACTCCCATAACACACGTTCTGCAGTTACACATCGCCTAAAACTATTCGACAGCTTGTCGAAATACAATTTTTTGATAGATACCGGAGCAGACGCCTCTGTAATTCCCAAAAGCGTACACACTAGTAATCCCAACCCTTCGGCGGTCAAGCTATTCGCGGCTAATGGTACACCGATTCGAGTATATGGCGAAGTGCTCCTCAAAATAGATTTAGGGTTACGTCGGGAGTTCCTCTGGAACTTTCTCATTGCAGATGTTACATGCGGAATTATAGGTGCCGACTTTATTTGTAACTTTGGGTTGTTAGTCGATTTAAAGCGAAAACGATTAGTCGACAACCTAACTTCAATAATGGCCGTAGGGAAACTTGTGAACAGTAATAACCTATCCATCAAAACGTTTGACACGTCGTGCGCGTACGCAAACCTGCTCAAAGAGTTTGGCAGTTTAACACGACTGGCGCAGCTAGGAAGCCCAGCAAAGTCCACCGTTTTGCATCACATCGAGACGCGAGGTCCACCAGTATCAACACGCCCCAGACGCCTTTCGTCAGATAAGCTGATAGCGGCAAAGGCGGAATTCGACAATTTAATAAAATTGGGTATTTGTCGCCCGTCGAGCAGCAGTTGGGCCAGTCCGCTCCACATGGTAAAGGAGGCAGATGGCACGTGGCGTCCATGTGGCGATTTTAGAGCCCTCAACAGCGTCACGGTTCCAGACAGATACCCAATTCCATATTTGCAGGACTTCACTAGCGATTTGAAAGGTAAGACGATATTTTCGAAGGTTGACCTACAGAAAGCCTTCCATCAGGTCCCCGTGAATCCGGAGGATGTACCAAAAACTGCCATTATTACGCCTTTCGGCCTTTTTGAATTTATGTTTATGCCCTTCGGCCTACGAAATGCCGCGCAGACACTACAGAGACTCATTCACGAAGTGCTACGAGGACTAGACTTTGCATTCCCGTACATGGACGATATTTGTGTAGCGTCTTCTACCCCAGAAGAACATTTATCGCATCTCCGTCAACTTTTTGAACGCCTGCAGAAACATAACCTACGGATAAACGCCACAAAGTCTGTCTTCGGAAAAGCTGAAATCACATTTTTAGGTCACACCGTCTCTGCTGAAGGTGTAAGACCACTACAGCAACGCGTGCAAGCTATTCGAGATCTCGAAAAACCAACTACCGTTAGTGGTCTTAAGCGTTTTCTAGCCACAATAAATTTCTATAGGCGATTTATCCCACACGCTGTTGAAGCGCAGTTACCGCTGCTTGCCATGTGCCCCGGCAACGTAAAAAACGACCGCTCACAACTGAACTGGACGGAGGCCACCACAGCAGCGTTCGAAAAGTGCAAGACCCAGCTTTTGAATGCCTCCCTCCTAGCACATCCATCAAAAGAAGCCGAGTTGTCCCTATGGGTCGACGCATCGGACAAAGCTGCAGGAGCCGTTCTGCATCAGATAATTGGTGGCACCTTCGAACCACTAGCGTACTTTTCCAAAAAGTTCGACAAAACGCAGCTACGATACAGCACATACGACAGGGAACTTACAGCAATGTTCTTGGCCGTCCGTCATTTTAAATATATGCTGGAAGGAAGGATTTGCCATATCTACAGCGACCATAAACCACTAATATACGCGTTTCAAAAGAATCCGGAGAAGGCTTCGAGCCGGCAAGCTCGTCAGCTGGATTACATTTCCCAAATAACGACAGACATTCGTCACGTTGAGGGAAGGAACAATGTAACTGCCGACATGCTTTCAAGGATAGCACCACTTCACATAACCAGTATAGACTACAGCAAACTAGCAGACGACCAGCAACTCGACCAAGAGCTTCAGCATCTTCGCCAAAGCAGTGCGAACTCATCGCTGCAGTTAAAGCTATTCACAGTGCCTGGCAGTGACAAACAGATAGTCTGCGACTCATCCACTGGCAATATCAGGCCATTTATCACCAAGAGATTTCGTACAGACGTGCTACGAGCAACTCATGGGTTATGCCACCCAGGTACACGCGCTACAGCCAGATTACTGACAAGCAGGTTCGTTTGGCCTGGAATCCAACGGGACAGTAAAGCCTTCGCGAGATCTTGCGAACAGTGCCAAAAAGCAAAAATCACTCGGCACACATTTTCTCCTCTTAAGCGCTACGAATCGGGGGACACCCGATTTGATCATATCAACGTCGACGTGGTAGGGCCCTTTCCTCTACACGCCGGCAACCGCTACTGCTTCACAATTGTCGATCGCTTCTCAAGATGGCCAGAGGCTATCCCAATACCAGACATGACCGCGCCAACCATCGCTAGGGCTCTAATAAATAACTGGATTGCAAGATTCGGAGTGCCAGCCGTCATTACATCGGACCAGGGTCGTCAGTTCACATCCACGCTATTTACAGAGCTAACTAAAGCACTTGGCATAACTCACCTAAAAACAACACCTTACCATCCGCAATCAAACGGATTGGTAGAAAGGTGGCACCGAACGTTAAAAGCCTCAATTTTGTGCATTAACTCAGAGCAATGGACCGACTTCCTACCGACTATACTCCTGGGCCTACGTACGGTATACAAGCAGGACCTGGAGGCGTCACCGGCCGAATTAATTTACGGTACAACACTTCGTATTCCCTCAGAATTTTTTGTACACGACAGCCGAATTAAAACGCAGTCAGAATTCGTCACCGAGCTTCGAGAAGTGATGAACTCAATTAGGCCATCCAGTACATCTTGGCATAGTTCAAAGAAAGTCTTCGTCCATCCCGACCTTGCAACTTGTCAAAACGTCTTCGTAAGGAACGATTCAGTGCGTCCATCATTCTCGAAACCATATGAAGGACCCTATAAAGTCTTGTCCAAAGCAGAGAAGTACTTCAAAATTGCTATAAAAGGTAAACCGGTAAACATTTCCGTAGACCGACTGAAACCAGCATACCTACCGAACGAAGACCCGTCGCCACAGATTTGCCAAACTTTATCGACTGGGCAAAAACCCCGCCGAGTAACCTTTATTACACGCAACCTGCAGTAGTAAGGGTTCACCCAGTCTGAAGGGGGATACTGTGGCAACGCTATGCTGCGTACGAAGAACTATTTAATCAGCAACCCTTATTCTATTACCTTTTGTATTTTAGTTGTAAGCAACTCTTTTCCCTTTTCTTCCTTTCCTTCTTCTCATTTTTCTGGTGAAAGAATAAAGACACGTTTTTAGCGAGTACGTAAGATTAAGCAAATACTTTGAGTTTCTCTTTTCGGATTCAGGATACAGTCGCAAGATACTAAATATATTTACGTAGTGGCGATAACAGCTAGTTTTAGGCTGTCAACGGCTTCTTGTATGGCTGCCAATTCGGCTTGAAAGACACTACAGTGGTCAGGTAGTCGGAATGATCTTTTTATTCCCAATTTCTCCGAGTAGACGCCTCCTCCTACCCTATTTTCTAGTTTGGAGCCGTCCGTGTAGAATCTTATGGCATCTCTAGACCCCGGAACTCCTTCGAGCCATGATTCCCTGCTAGGTAGCGTTACGCTATAACCTTTAGTGAAAGTGAGCCTTGGTAGTCCTTTGTACTCGGTAGTTGTCGGTTTCTCAGAATTGTAGTGTGACCACAGCGAGCCACTTTCCAGCTTTTAAGCCCCTGTAGTCTTAGGGCTGCAAACGCAGCGTATTGTCGTCCCATAATATCTATGGGTATGATGTTGAGGATCTTGTTCATTGCCATAGTAGGTGTTGTGCGGAGAGCACCACTAATGCAGATCAGGGCCGTTCTCTCCACTTTTTGTAATTTAATAATGTTTACTTTCTTCTCCAGCACTGGCCACCATACCACTACCCCGTACAGAAGTATGGGCCTCACCACGACGGTGTATATCCAGTGCACTAGCTTCGGGGTTAAACCCCATTTTTGGCCGATTGCTCTCCTGCAGCTGTATAGGGCAACCGTGGCCTTCCGCACCCGCTCTTCGGTGTTTTGAATCCAGCTTAATTTTCTATCTAGGACTATCCCCAGGTATTTAGCGGATTCGCTTAATTTTAGTGTGGTCTGTGCCAGCCTTGGTGTTATCAATGGGGGGATTTTGTACCTTCTTGTGAACAGTACAAGTTCTGTCTTGCTTGGGTTTACCCCTAGCCCGTTATTTTTTGTCCAACTCTCGACTTCCTTCAGTTTTACCTGCATAATGTCACATAGAGTCTGTGGAAATTTTCCACTTACTGTTAGTGCAAGATCATCCGCATACGCAATAACCTTACAGCCACCCCCCTCCATGCCACACAGCAGTGAGTTTACCGCTGCGACCCATAATAGAGGGGATAGGACTCCCCCTTGCGGGGTGCCCCTCTCTACGAACCTGGTCAACGATACCCCCGCCAGCTCCGCCCGGACCACCCTGCATCTCAGCATTTGGTTTACGAGCGCAACTAAGCGCGAGTCGATGCCCAGGCCCGCCAGTGCTGCCGTTATCGCGCCCGGCAAGATGTTGTTAAAGGCGCCCTCTATATCCAGGAAGGCTGCTAGCGTATATTCTTTGATGTCTAGTGATCTCTCTATATACGACACTATTTCATGTAGCGCCGTGTCTGTAGATCTACCTTTCGTATAAGCATGTTGTGTGGTAGAGAGTCTGTCACCAACCGACTCTCTGATACGGACCTCCACCAGTCTCTCCATAACCTTCAGTTGAAATGACGACAAGGTGATGGGCCTGAAATCCTTTGGGTTATTGTGAGACACCTTCCCTGCCTTGGGGATGAACACCACTCTTGATTCCCTCCACTTTCTAGGGATATGGTTAAGAGCTAATACTCCCTTAATTATAGCGTGTAGCCACGCTGAGCTTAGCTGAAGTGTTTGCTGCAGCTGTATGGGGGCAATGCCATCCGGACCTGCTGATTTATAGGGCTTAAATGTCCCAATAGACCAGATGACCTTTTCCCTAGTGAGGAGATCTCCAGTGACC